CACACACACACACACACACACACACACACACACACACACACACACACACACACCCCTCTCCAGTGACTCCCTATCTCCTCCAAGATCAAATATAAAATCTTCTGTTTGGATTTCAAAGCCCTTCGTAACCCTCCTACCTTTTCATTCCTGTACTTAGATCCAGTGCAACTGGCTTCTTTACTGTTCCTAGAACAGGAAGACACTCCATCTCCAATCTGTGGTTTCTCTGAATGCCTGGAATTCTCTCCTTCCTCACCTCTACCTTCTGGTATCCTTGACATCTTTCAAGTCCAACAAAAAAATACCATCTACTACAAGAATCCTTTCCTAATCCCCCCTTAATTCTAGCAGCTTCCCTCTGTTGACTATCTCCAATTTATCCAGTATATCTCTTATTTTTTTAGTAGTTGTTCTCAACAAAAAATGTCTCCCCCACTAGACTGTAAGCTCCTTGTAAACATGAACTGTTTTTTGCCTTTCTTTGTTTCCTTAGTACTTAGCACAGTGCTTTATACATAGTAGGTACTTAATAAATATTTATTGACTAATTTATGAAAGATTTAAAATTTTTCTGTATATTAGATTATTCTACATTTTAGATAATTATTTAAAAGCCAATCTGTGAATTTGAATAAAGTGTTAAAGAGATAATATAGCTGGGTTTGCATTTTTAACAGCTATTTTAAAATGAATTTTATGAGACCTTATTTTTAACTCTATCATATGTACATTTAAAACAAATGTAGCATTTGCAAATAGACTGTGCTATGTGATGCTTAGTTCAAGTTTCGTGTATTTTTCATACCCTATCATTGTTCTGTGTTGCAGGTATAGGGCCTTCATTTTTATCTTGACCTTTTTGCTGTATGCAAGTTTTCACTTATCTAGGAAACCTATCAGCATAGTTAAGGTAAGAAACTATTAAATGAGTTCATTCTGTTATATGTTATCTATGAATCATAAAAGGAAGTAGTTGCTTTAATGAGGGGGGAGAGAAATAAGATTATAGAAGGCAATTTTGAAATGTTTCCTTGTTTCAACTTTTAAAAATTTTCATTCTGCATATGGCTCAAATGCTGGGGGTGATATAATGCTATACTGGTAAGTGGGGTTGCCAGAGGGTTGTCATTACCTCTCATTCAACCTTAGCCTTGTGTCGGTTGTGTTAATCCTTGTCAGCCACTGCCTCAGTTTTTCCCTTTGGTTAATAACTGTTGTGGTTTTTTTTTTTTTTTAGCCATTACCTTGGCTCCTTCCTCCTTGGAAGTGTTCTTTTCAAACCAACTATTTCCCAATGACTGTTGGGGGGAGGGGAGAGATGGAAAATGGAAGTGGCCAAAATCCTGCCTCCCATATCATTCCCAGATCTTCACATCTTCCCCTGGGTAAATCAGCTGACTCTTTTGCCTTGTTCTAATTTTTCCCCCTCTGACCTGAGTTATTAAAAAAAAAAAGAACCAAAAATTTTTATTTGATAACTCAAGCCCTAGTTAATCTGTGGTGAAATATATACCCTAGTTTGCTTGTGGCCCAGCTTTGTGGATGTCACATATACATTTTTCTTTGCTGAGATACCAACATAGCTTTGTTGTCACTTGGCCTTCAGGACAGCATCTGCATGCATATTTTAGTCTTTCCTGACTGGTAGTGAGTGCTGAATTCGTATAGTTTGGCTGCCCATCTCTGGCAAGCAGGATTTAATTTGGCCTTGATCAGGATATGTCATTGCATTGTTTTTCATCCTCGCTTGGAACTTTGCTGCAAGCATATAGTGAACTCACTGACAGCCCTCTTCAAAGCCAAGAACTCCAGGTTGAGGATAGGACAAGTTTCACTATCACTTAAGCTTCTGCTGGTAAAGGTAACTATCGTCTTGTAACTGTCACACTTCTTGTACAAGACTGCTCTCAAGCCCTCCAAACTGTATATTCACTGAACTCCAAAGGGATTTTTCAGTTTTAAAACAAAATCTTTCTTGTCCTTCAGCTTCTCTTCTGTTATGTAAGTACAATTGAGATCAGGAGTTTAGCAATAAACGTTCACGAACCAAATTCTAGAAAAGTTCAAAAGGTTTAGTAGAAGTAAGCATGTTTCTGTCTTCTCTGGAGTGCCCACTAAAGAAGGAGCTCGTACACTAAGGAGATTCTGTCATTTGGGGCTGGCTTAACAGCAGAAGCCTCTTCAGGTTTGATGTTGGGAAGAAATGAGGCATTCTCAAGTCATTAAAAAGTTAACAAGGCAAGGATTTAAAAAAAAAAAAGAACCAACAAGGTTGCAGCAAGGACATGGAGGCAGTTCCCCTTGTCCCTACATGGAAAGTCATTTGGTCAGCAGGGCACTGTATGAGTATGGATGACATAAGACCTTAGGTGAACAGGAAGTTGCATGAGGGAAGTAGAGGCCAATCAGATCCTAGAACCACCTTGTTTTTTTTTTTTTTTTGAGAGAAAACTAATCCCTGTTTTAAGAAATGGGGAAAAACTAATTCTTATTGTGAGAAATGGGGAAACTCTAATCTTACCACCTACCATACCCATACTGGAAAGGCCCTGATGACCTTCTATCATTTAACTGCTTTCAGAGCTTTTATTCTCCTGACACAGATAATACTAAGGGGAAAAGGAAAAGTTTTATTTCTATATATACACATACTCCCAGGAGTCACCAAAAAAGAAAAAGAAGAAAATGTGGAAGATCCAGAAATACTAGATTTTTTCCTCCCACTTTGGAAGATCCAAGTCTCAGATATCAACAAACTATTCCATAAGTTAAGTGATATAATCTTCAAAGTTCACACCTGGGCCTCCTAATGAAAGTTAGTGATGTTGAGCTATTGAGTCAGAGAAGCACCTGGGACATATGCATCAGAGTCATCTGTAGTAAAATGGATAATAGGTTACAAGTCTCTTACATGCAAACTGTCCCAAGTTCTAAGTTGATAGCAAGATTCTCCCAATATTGCCACTCAGTATTCCCTGGCTGTCCTCCCAGTCTCCCCCTCCTTTTTTGACCGCTTAGTAGCTTCTAGAGGCTAAATAAGGACTCTCCCTCTCTCCTATTTAATTACTTTACCTCTAGGGTCAGGTATGTGGTCACCTTTCTTCAAAGTAAATACAGACCTTTCAGTGACAGTTTCACCTCCCTGTGCTTTTAGAAAGCAGTACTACCACACTTTGTTACCCTAAGCCCTTCCCAGAAGAAAGGAAGCATGTCAATTGACAGGGATGTGAGCTAATTCTCATCAGCATGTAGAGCCCTCTGAGGGGCCAAGGACCTTAAGACCAAGATTATTCTGCATCAAGAAAGAAATAAGGAAGGGCCAGAGGGTGTCAGGCAGAACTAAAGTAGTCAGTTCTTATCAGGTAAGTCTTCCTGGTGATTAGATTACACAAATCACTGGGATAGAGAGCCCTTCCTCTTCCTAGAGTGGTGTTGACTTGTCAAAGACATGACTTCATGGAGATTGGACATTTGATGTAGACAGTCAAGTGTATGACAATGATTAACTAGGGCAAACCTCTTCCCCTGAGATAGGAGGGTAACACTTTGCCAGTTGAGAACAAGTTGGGGGCCACTTGGGTTATATGGGTACTCCAATTAACAAATGGATGGCCAAGAATAGCTTCCTTGTCCTTAAGAGGATCATAAGGTCCTGTGCCTAGCACAACATGGCATCACCACACTAATGCCCATATTGGCATTGGACCTACTCCCCAAAATCTATTCTTCTTGTAACTACTTCAACATGGTTATTTGGTATATGACATCTGATGGGTGTTGACATGCTCCACAAACAATTGTATGCAGTGGGAAGAATCAGCAAAATCCCTCTGCTGGTCACCAATGAGACCTTTGATTGTCCAATCCTGTTATCTCCAGGCCCAAGATCATTTGGCCAGACCCAAGACCACTCCCTAGAAATTAATGCCGGTGAAGATCTTCTCTACCTCTTCCCTCAAGGCTCTCTCATATACTACCCATGCACCCTATAGCTCAGCCCACTGGAAGGACTTGCCAGGATCCCCATTCCTTAAGGTATATCCTGTTACCAGATTAAAGTCTGCTGAAATGTAATTGTGAATACCTCTCTGCTAGTGGATAGAGAGAGCCATTGGTAAACCAAAGTTAAGTTTCTCCTTATAGGTAGGGGCCTATTTGGCCAGCAGAAGAAATGAATTCTAGGGCTTGGACTAGTATCCTCAGTGTCTGGCATAGTGATCATATGTTTGCAAAGGGCACTAAAACCAAAGAGACCCAAGAAAGCATGATTTTTAAAATGTTTCCATTTAGCAATCAAAGCCTCACGTCCTCTACCTATCTTGCTAAAGGGACCATCTTACCATCACTCAAGTATGATGTTTAAAAAGTTCAAGAGACATAATTTCCAGGTAATTAGTCATTTTATTAATAATGCTAGCATTTTAATAAAAGGTCCATGGTACACTCAAATGCCAAAGACAATCATGGGGGTAAGCTCATGGCTTATATGCTCTTAGAAGAGGGATGTTCCTGAGGGTGGCAATCACCTCTGATTGCTTAACAATTAATGAGAGTGAATATTACAGTGAGGGGTTTGGACCTATTCTAATAAACTTTGATCATGTCATTTACTTCTAAGTTACCCCCATCCTTTCTTTTTTTCTTTCTTCTTTCCTTTCTTTCTTTGATCTCTGAAACCTCTCCAGATATCTTGGGGTTTACGGGCTAGATTTCTTTCTTAAGGACCTTTCCTTAAATCTAAATCCCTCTGGCTATCATTAATTGGCCAACTGTAGGTCCCAGACCAAGCACTTGGTCATTGTTTGGGCCCTGATTGTCTCAAAGTGAATGAAAATAGCAATTGTTTCTATTTTGGGCAGAAACTCTGAGGGTCTCCCCCTCCTAGATTGATTTTTTTTTTTGACTAGGTAGAAGGCCATTCTCTGCCCTATTTCTTACCTAGCTTTAATCACTGAATGGGTGTTGCTTCAATCAAATTGAGACTTGTTAAAGACCTTAGCTTAAAAAGGCCAAGGTCTCCCTGCATCCAGGGCCATCTCCAGTTGTCCTGATTTACATCTCACCACTGGATCCAGATGGCTCCAGAGGAGAAAGTGACGCTTGGTGACTTTGCACAGCCCTCCTTCACTTAAATCCAATTCACCAGTATGTCTTGGCATCACCTCCCTGATGTCACGGTTCTCCTCAAGACTGAAGGTCAAATAATAACAACAAAGAATTTATCCACACTCAAACCTAAGTAGAGGGTTGGGTGGGGTCTGACCAAGTTAATTTAATTTTGAAATGAGGACTATAGAAAAAGGGGAAACTGTGGGCCTCCCCAAATCATTTGCCAGCAGTGACTAAGAGAGAACCCCTCCTCCACCATGATTGTCCCAGGATAACCTTCTTTCCTTTATCTTTATGGAGATGGACAATGTAGGCATCCTTGAACTCCTGGGCAATAACCTCTTCTTGCCCAGAAAATTTCAGTCAGCTTTTATATGAGCAGTGGACCCTCTGTCTTGTAAATCTCTGCTGGAACAAAATCAGCACCAGGTGCTTTGTCACATGAGTGGAGCCTAATGGCATTCAAGACCTCTTCTTCAGTTGGAAGTTTGGCTATAGAGAAATTGACTTCAATCTCAGGTATATGGTCAGTGGTGTCCACATTAGTTGATGATGGTCTGTTGAGAACATTATGCAAATGTTCATCCCATCTCTCCAGGATCATGTCCTTATCACCAATCAAGGGGCTCCATCTGCCCTGAGTGGTTGAGATGCACCATAGGCCATTGGCCCATAAATAGCCTTCAAGGCATCATTAAAGCATTTTGGATTGTTATTAACAGTGTAAAACTGAATTTCATCAGCCTTATTACTGAGCCAAGAATCTTGCATCTCCCTAAGCTTCACTTGCACTTTACTTTT